TCTCAATCTTATCAGGCTATTTAGCTGGCCGGAAGAAATAATTTTTATTTGATTTTATAAAACTGTAATATGCACGGACATAGGACAAGATGATGGGTGGAAGTGAAATAGCTCTTGCAGCCACCAATAGAACGATGTCAAATAGTAGTTGTCACAGAGCCTTTTCCTCTTGTTTTTGTCATGACTTACAGCATCGTTAATTGGATATCCTATTAATTCCCTGGAAATCAAGGAACCTTGTTCCACTTTTTACAAAGTGATTCTTACAACTCGGACCCACTGAGGGCAGAGCAGAGATACTGTTGTACACGGTAACCCAACACACACTTCAGACACTTCCATGTGACACGAATAAACTTCAGGGAAAACACAACCCAAAGTAGCCACCAAAGGCATATTTGGCCCTTGGCCACGCTTGGCCGTGTGCGCTTCCTGGGTTCGTGTTACTTCTGCTTCTCAGAGACGGGCTGAAAGATGTTTGTAGTTCAAATCAGGCAGTCACTGAACACAAGCACAAGGGACAACACTGTGCTGTGTGTGTTGCCACCAGGAAAGCAAAACATTTGAAACAGTCTCTTTAGCAGATGAAAAACTGGGGCACATTTAGTTTTTATCCCCCTATTGATTTTGTTCATAATGTTAAATTTTAGCAATGAGATTATCGAACAATTTCATAGGTCAGGTTCAAAAAACTGAATTTAAAACTTTATGTACGTTTTTATAAAATATGTTTTACATAAATATGTTTTTATAAAATAACTATGAATAAAACATAAAGATAGCATAAGTTGATTATTTGCTGGGAATTAGGGTTTTGATTTTTATCTCATGTGTTGTAATTCTGAATACTTTACAGTATTACAGTGTAATACAGTCATGATTTTTTTTCCATAGTTGTAGGTCCCTAAAAACATAATATAAACTCTTGTACGTTTTTGGAAAGATAGAAGCAGGAAATATAAGGACTACAGAAAAGAATTAAATGAAGCCTTATCATTAAGCCATTTGCAAAGACAAACCATCATTCCATATTACTGATGTCTGCATGCAGTGGCAGAACTCTCTGAACCCACTTTATCCTGATTACTGTCCACCGAATTCTGGAATTAAAATTGCAGACTTCAGCCCCTCTTCCCTAAACAGCCATGGCTCTGGGTCTTCTTGTCTTTGATCTCATTTCCCAGTTCAAAGGACGAAGAAAGAATGGCTTTCAACCTTTGCACAGAGACCCTCCTCAGCTAGAAAAGTAGGTTATTCACATTTCCATTGCAAATGAAGGGATCAGTTTCCAGAGTCTGAAAACTGAGACTTTACAGAGAGGAGGGCTATCTTGATTGAAGTAAAAATGCAAACACTAAATTATCAGGGAGCTCTGAATTCTGTCTAACTCTCCTGACTTCAAAGCCCTGGGGAGGGGCACAGGTGCCAAAAGGGGCTGCCCTTTATAAAGAGGAAAAGTTTCTAACTTTTCTAGCAACTGTGCTAGAGTATCATTAATTACTGCTGGTGGTTGGGACTGCCATTCCTATGATCTGTCTGCTCTGGTCTTCCAAGCAGTTCTAACCTCAGACCTTAACTCCTTCTGTGCTCGAGACTGAAAAAAAAGGACCTAGGAGTTTCATGCAATCTATCAGTGATCAAATCAATAACATAATGAAAGGGGCAGCCTTGCAAAAATAACAGGAAAATGCCCAATCCTACAATTTCCCCAGCAACAGCTAAAGATCAATCCTGTAAGTTCTCTCACCAACAGGCTCCCTGCAGAAGTTCTGTTTTGCTCAACTTCTGAAAGGAGCTGAATAGACAGAAAAGAGATGTAAATCTCTCTCTTTCAAAATTGTTTCTTTGAGAATCTGCTTTTACAAGAGTTCCTGAGTAAACAGCAGGAGAAGGAGCTCCAAGCCTCAGCCACATCTTGAGGACAGAGTCCCGTCTGCTATGCTAATCCCTTCTCCAAGCAAAGGCAGGAAACCAACTCTTGGACTTTGACATCCCGCCCGTTCTGCTGCTGTTTTTTGTTATCAACTGACAG